ATACATTTCCAACAATCCCCCACTTGAATAGTTTTGAAACTATCTCTGAGCATCAACAGTTCCATAAGATCGGGCATAAGCTAAGGTATCGCGAAGATTTGAACCTTAGCGTAGTGGTTACACTTCCGATTTCATAAGGGTGACTCGTAGTCTTGAACCCTATCTCAGACAGTGTAGCACACCAGATCTTTTCATTGAGTTGTGTTCTCTTCTTAGCCAGTGCGTTAATGGCCATGCACGTTATCCTGGTTTAGTGAACGCTCTAGCAACTTTGTGCCTCCAAATTTCCATAGGGAGCGGCCCCACTCCCACATTCGAATAGGTGAGTCTATCAGGAGTACCCCCAAAGTAAAGTACTCCATCCCACATATAGGGTATAGATCTCATTAAGAGTTATTAACTCAACCTCCATTGCTTTGAGATTCATGCTTCACTATGCATGAACTTTTCGCATACTACTCATGACTTTTTATTACCCATTGAACCCATTTCTTGGGATCTCCAGTCTATTGTGTCGGGTTACCATCACTTGTAGTCCGTGGTTCGGTAGGCATAAGTCCCATACCCTTGGCGGTATTCTGGACTTTCTCTCTAGGTAATCCTTTCGTCAAAGGATCAGCTAGATTCTGTTCGGATCTTATATGATCCACCCTCACTGCTCCTATCGTTAGGAGTTCTCTTACAGTATTGTGCTTACGACGAATCTGTCGTTTCTTTCCGTTATAGAACCGGTTCTCAACTTTAGCGATAGCTGCGGTACTATCACAATGGATCAATACCGGAGGGACCGACCTTTCCCATAGGGGAATCTCTGACAACAATCCTCTAAACCAACTTGCTTCTTCACTAGCCGTTGCTAGTGCTATCATCTCTGATTCCATAGTTGATTGAGCTAGGATTGTTTGTTTCTTTGACTTCCAAGACACAGCTCCACCAGCGATGTTAAAAACATACCCTCTGGTTGCCTTGGAGTCGTCTGATTGGGTATTCCAATCCGCATCACTATACCCTTCTAGTACAGCAGGAAACCTTTGATAGTGTATACCAAGGTTTGCTGTTCTCTTGAGGTATCTCATGACCCTCTCTATAGCATTCCAATGCTCTCTACTTGGACAACTGTTAAACCTGCCAAGCAATCCCACGACATATGAAATGTCTGGTCGAGTGTAATCTGCACCATAACAGAGACTGCCAATGATGCTAGCATATTCTGATTGTCTTACACTGTCTCCAGTGTTCTTAAATAGCTTTACACTAGCATCATACGGAGTACACGCAGGTTTACAGTCAAAATAGTTATATTTCTTCAAGATCTTCTCTATGTAGCTAGATTGATCTAGAGAATAACCATTTGCTGTTCTGGTTATCTGGATTCCAAGCATAAACTTTGCTTCTCCCAGATCTTTCACCTCAAATCTCTCTTTCAATATGGCTTTTGCTTCATTGACCACGTGAATATTTGTACCAAATATCAACATGTCATCTACATACAAACATATGATAGTGCAAGTGTTATTTTCTAACTTGCAGTAAATACACTTGTCACTTTCATTCACCTTAAAGCCATGTGAGAGAACAAGAGTGTCAAACTTCTGATGCCACTGTTTTGGAGCCTGTTTCAAACCATATAATGATTTGTCTAACTTACAGGCTTTCGAGGCATGTTCGGGGATAACAAACCCTTCTGGTTGTTCCATATAGATTTCTTCATCCAGATCACCGTTCAAAAAAGCGATTAACATCCATTTGGTGTACCACGAGATTGTTCAAGGCAGCAAGAGCAATCATTACACGAATGGATGTTATTCTTGATACTGGCGAATAGGTATCGAAGAAATCTATATTCTCTCTCTGCCTGTAGCCATTAACTACTAGGCGAGCTCCGAACCTTTCGATTGCACCATCAGGTTTCCGTTTCGTTTTTAGAACCCATTTATTACCTAAGACTTTGCAGCCAGGAGGTAAGTCTATTAGATGCCAAGTCTTATTAGCTTCTAACGATTCCATTTAATCTATAACAGCCTCATTCCAAAAATCTGCATCTATGGAAGTTAATGCTTCCTGCAAACTTTTTGGATCTTCGAGGGTGAATACTGTAGTAAAGTCATCACCAAAATTTTTAGAGATTCTAGCTCTTTTACTTCTTCTGAGTTCATCCTTAGAACCAACAACCACATTAGTTCTGTTATCTCTAATAGCGGGTAGTACATTACCCCCACTATTTCTCGTTTTAAATGGAAATCGTGTCTCAAAGAAATCAACATCAATGGATTCTATTATAGTACGAGCATTCAAATCATAGAATATATGCCTTACTATTGGCCGCATAGCCAACGCAGACACATTCATATGCTCCACTAGCCAACTTAATCCTCTTAGGATCCGGAATTCTTACGTAGGCCAAACAGCCCCACGTTCTTAAATAGGACAGATTAGGTGGCTTATTCTTCAAGATCTCATAGGGTGATTCTTTTTTTTTTTGGAAGACGGTTTAGCACATAGCAAACCGTCAACAAAATATCACCCCACCAAGAAGAAGCAGCTCCATAATTGAGCATAATAGCCACAACTAATTCTGTAAACGTCCTATTTTTCCGCTCAGCTTTACCATTCATTTCTGGTGAATATGGTGTCGTGGTCTCATGAATGATACCATGTGAGCTATAGAATTCCTTGAAGGGATTAGAGTCATACTCTGATCCTCTATCACTCCTAAGTCTTTTTATCTTTCGATTGCACTGATTTTCAAATTCAACCACAAATAAACAAAGCAATATCAAGGGCAATCATCTATGAAAGCAATAATCAGAGCAATAATCAGAGCAAGGGCTTCACTTTTGTTTTTCATCAAATAAACAAAGCAATAATCAGAGCAATCATCTATGAAAGTGATAAAGTATCTCTTGCCAGACCTAGTTAACGTCCTATCTAGTTCACAAATATCAGAATGAATCAGATCTAAGGGTTCTGATTCTCTACTCACAGATTTATGGGGCGTTTTCGTTATTTTAGCTTGGCTACAGAAATCACATTTATTAAATTCATTCATTGAGAGTTTAGGGATATGTCCTAGCTTGCTTAAATTCTTCACAATTCGTGTGTTCACATGACAAAGACGAGCATGTCAAATATTCAAATCACACACCATGTAAACTGAAGAATTTATCTTATTAATTTCGACATTCAACTTGAACATCCCATTACATGCATATCCCTTTCCCACAAAACTCCCATTCTTAGTAAGGGTATACAAGTCTGCCCCAATAGTTTGATTAAACCCAGCCTTATTAAGAAGATATCCTGAAACAAGATTCTTCCTTATCTCTGGAGTGTGCAACACATCCTTGAGCACCATCTTCTTCCCAGAGGTGAAGTTAAGCTGCACTTCACCAGAACCAGCAACCATAGTGGTGTGTGTAGTCCCCAACAACACTTTCTTGTCAGCAGGTGCTTCTGTGTATGTTTTAAACATAGCACGATTGTTGCATACATGCTTCGATGCACTTGTATCCAACCACCATCATTCTGAGTCACCGGTGAGGTTAACTTCAGCGATCATATCTGTGATCATGGCTATCAAATCCTCTTCTATCAAGTTAACCCTGGCCGCTGCGGCAGTGTTTTGCTTGTTCCGGCACGATTTTGCCATATGACCCGGTTTTTCACAGTTATAGCAGATAAACGGTGGGTCATTCTTAGAGGTTTGGGCCATGTCCCTTTGGTTACCTCGAGAGGCACCATTCTGGTGGGGGCGGACCTACTGGTTCTTACTCTTAAACCCTTTCTGGTTAGGTTTAAGATCTCTAGGGGTGGGTCGTTTAGCAGTGACGACCATCACCTCTTCTTTCATATCCTGCTTGCGGGACTCTTCCTCAATCCTTAGGCGAGTAATCAAGCTTTCCAGTGAAAATTCTTTGGTTTTATGCCTAATCATATTCTTAAAATCTTTCCACGAAGGGGGCAGCTTATCAATAATGCAAGCAACTTGATACTGATCGTCTAGAGGCATACCTTCAGAGACGATCTCATGATCTATTTTCTGAAGTTCATGGGACTGAACTTCGACGGACTTGTCATCCACCATCTGGTAGCGCAGGTAGCGGCTGACAGCATACTTCTTAGCTCCAGCCTCCTCCGTGTCGTACTTCTTTTGGAGCGCATCCCAGATCATCATCGCGGTGTTCTTACTGTCCGCATAGTAGTCATAGAGATTGTCTGCCAGGCCGTTGAGGATGTAGTTCTTGCACAGGAAGTCATGCTCCCTTTATTTGGCAGAAGCAGCCCTCTCCTCATCGGTCGCTTCTTCCGGCAGCTCGACGGGCATGCTGGTGAGGCAGTGTGCCAACTTTTTGGTCGTCAGGTAGAACTCCATCTTTTGTCTCCAGCGACGGAAGTTGACCCCAACGAAGCGAAAGGGTCGATTGATATCGACAACACCAGATCCGGCCATGTTGTTCTGTTCAGTCGACATAGCAGCAGCCGAACATCTTAAAATTGTTAGGAACGGAACAACAAGAAGAACGAGGTTACCGAATCTGGAGCTGAGTCGCGGACTAGGTAGCTCTCTTTAAGACGTTCGGGGCACTGCCTTCGATGCGCACGGGAGACTATCAACCGGTCGTCTCCAGGATAAAACAACTCCTCTCAATACTCGCGGTTTTGTGCGGAAACCGGAGCTCTCTGAACACTCTCTATATTTGGTTTATGCTCGTTGTGATCTGTTTAGAGGGGCTAGGGAGGCGGCTATTTATAGGAGCCGAACCCCTAGGAATATGGGGAATAAATCGGATTAATTAAGGAAGATAATTACTTCCTTAATTAAAATCGTCGGCTAAGATAAACCCTGTGGGATTATCCTTCGAATATTCCTTTTTAGTCGATTATCCTTAAAATATTCCTCAGAATAAACGATTAATAATTAATTATTAGATAATTTATTTCGTTCAGAATTTCTCCAAAAATATATATATAGTCTCAAGTGAACCAATCAACCAACCGACAGACCGACCGCGCGTGTTTGTGCGGTGGTCCGTTAGGTCCTCCCTCTCCCACAAAAGTGGGTCACGGAGAGAGGCTCCTATCTTTATACACATTTCACCAAGTAAAACTACCAATGTGGTAGTTTTTCCACTTGAGACTCTATAGCTTTCAAAGCTATTCATATACATTTCCAACACTTCAGGGTTGTGGGTAGCAAGAATTCGTCGACCCGGCTGGGGCCAGAGGTGGCATTCGAGCTGGTATGCTGGAGTGATGAATTGTCTGTTTCAGTGATGGAGAGGAAGGCCAAAAGTGGAGGTAAGGTTTATGAAAAGGGGAAGCCTCTTTCGTTCCAGATGCAGTTTTCGACAGGGTTTGAGATGGACGAGAAGGTGAAGAAGTGGTTTGATGAGTGGCAAAATTTGCCTTATATCTCTCCATATGAAAATGCAACACGCCTCGGCTCTACTACTGATGAGGTAGATAAATGGGCGGCTGGAGTTTTGCATGAGCTTCTGAATCTATTTGTTTCAAAGAAGGCTGACAAGGAGGGTTTGCTATACGTGGGAGAGTGGTTGGGCATTCGATCATTGTTCAAGAGAGCATTGCTTAACCACCCTGGGATATTTTATGTTTCTGGTAAGATGGGAACATATACAGTAGTTCTAAAGGAGGGGTACAAAAGAGGATGGTCAGCTGAGAAGAATGAAATTGTTGATATTAGAAGTCGATACATGCATCTTATGCACTTGGTGCCTGAGGATCGTAAAGCAACTACCAATGCCCCTGTTGGAAGCAAGAAAGAGGAGAAGAAGACATCTAAGCAACCGGGAGAGAACAATAAAAATCATGAAAAGGATGCTTCAGCAAATTCTAAAGCATCTGAGCTTGATGATAGTGATGATGAGGATGCATATGACGACGAAGATGAATAAGATAATGATGAAGTAGAGGATAAGAAACATGGCCGTGGTCATGGAAATGCTGTAATAAAAAAGGGGAGAGCAAGTAATGTAAGGAATATGGATGTGAGGGGGCCTTCAAGGGGCCCAAGAAGAGAAAGGTCAGTTGATAGACCTTTTAGGGAGAATGTGGATGTAAGAGCAGAATATTTCAGAAGAATAGATACGCACATCAATTTGGACACAAGGGGGCGTTCAAGGGATTCAAGAAGAGAACGTCCAGATGAGAAAACATATAGGAGTTTGGATATGAGGGGGTCTTCAAGTGGCCCAAGAAGGGAAAGGCCAGTTGATAGACCTTTTAGGAAGAGTATGGATACGAGAACAGAGGATTCCAGAAGAACTGAAACACGAAGGAATTGGGACGTCAGGGGGCGTTCAAGGGATTCAAGAAGAGAACACTCAGATGAGAAACCTTATAGGAAGAGTGAAAATAAAGTTAGGTCAGATGATTCCCAAGCAACTGCCCATGTTCATGGAGCAATTTAAGGGGAAACACAGGGAAAAGGGCAGATTTCCCCAAGAAGATGAAGAAACCTGTAACTGATAAGAGTATTGCTAGTTAGTGTTGAAACATAAACTTGGCAGTGGTAGGTTAGTTTTGGCATTCTTTTTGTGTTGTTATCCTCCTTATTTCACCTATTTGAATTCAAACATAAGCTTTCTTGTTGTGTCGTCCTTAATTTGCTATTAAGGAAAATGTTTGTGATATGGTCTGCTGCTCTACTTCCTATTCGGTGTTTTCATGATCATAGTTGGTGGGATGATTTGTTAGCGGTACGATGTTGCCATGTAAACTGGTGATTTTGATGCCCATCTTCATTTTGATACTTTATTTAGTAAAATTGTTATGTGTATCCACTTTAGCTAAGGACTTCGTTTACCCCGTCCTTTATCTATGATAGTGTAAAGATGGGTTTTACTATTTCTATGCAGGACGAATTAAGTTCTCCGGTTGTCCTGGTAATTTGATAATCTCTCCCTGAACACTGTACCAAACTGGCTGCACGAGTGAAGGCAAGTTACTATAAACTGGAGGGTCTTCTGATGTCTGTTGCTTAGTGGTTGCTGCTACATTTCTCTGCAACTGATCGTGTAATCGTTGTTTCAGATGCTGTGGCATCAGATTCCAGTCAAGATCTGTACATTCCTCTGGATAGTGCATCAAAAGAAAATCCTTACCCAAGACATCTTGAAGAGGTGGGGATGGATGCTCCCAAGCAGATGTGCTCTCTGCAAAGCAAGCGAAGAGAGCGCCAACCATATCTTCCTTTCATGCAATTATACAAGAGAGGTATGGACCATCATTCAAACCTTCATTCCTGTATGTCACTTGCACACAGTTATCTTGGAGGCAATTAGAACCTCTGGCCCCATTCTACACCAAGTAATCCCCAAGGAATGGTGCACAAAATCCTCAATCCATGCCCTATGTTGGTGCATCTGGAAAGAGAGGAACAACCGGATATTTGAGGACAAGCCGACCCCAGTGTAGGTTACAGCTCTCAGAATCAACAGCATGATTGTCGGGTGGCTCATGGCAGCAGATAAGGTAGACAAGCTCATTGCAGAGGCATGGTTGAGAACTTTGAAGAGGAGGCTCATTCCACCAAATGAGAGAAGAAGATGATGATGTTCCTGTGCGTGAATGGACTCTCCAGTAAATGAGAAAAGAATATGATGATGTTCCTCTGCCATGTTTTTTTTACAATATGTGAATTCCATTTCATCAATGACAAAGTACAAGCAAAGCCATATTACAACATCAGATCAATAATATTAAGCACTTGGATCCAATCTTGGGGGAGAGATCCGTTTGCCGCTTCTTTCGCCACCCAATCTGCACTTCTGTTACAAGATCTTGGGGTAAAGCAGAAAGATAATCCGACTTTCACTCTGACCAGATTGCGTATCCACTGAATCCAAGCTCTCACTTGCCAAGGACCTACTTTATGCTGATCTTGAATGATATCCACAAGCACCTTACAGTCCGAGAAGATAGAGGCTGAACCGTGGAGGGAAACTGCTGCTCTCACCGCCGTCAATAGAGCTTTTGCTTCCGCAACTATCGCTGATGAATAGAAGAAAATGCCAACACAACCATCCACAACTTTTCCATGAGAGTTCTTAATGATGACCCCATAACCCCCACCTGTGATTCCGATCTAAAAGATCCATCACAGTGAATTTCCCACTGGGAAGAACTAGGCGGTGGGCGAAGTGTGTTATGGTTAGAGAGGTGTTGGGCTTGGACACCGAGAGGGGTAGGATGCTGAAGGGGAGTCGTCCAGAAAGAGAAATCTCTAACTGCATTTGCTGAAGTCACTGTAGGACGGGGGATGACACCTTTGAAGACTCTCTCGTTCCGGGCCAACCAGATTGCCCAAAGGCAAGCCACGACCCCAGGTATAGAGACCGTAGGGGAAACTACACAGATAGAAAACAACCACATAACAACAGGCGTCTGGTCCTGGGGCAAAGAGAGCGAAGGCTGAAGGATCTGCCAAACTCTAGCAGCGTGAGGACACTGGAAGAAGCAGTGCCACACATCCTCCACATCCTCTTCACAGACATCGCAAAGCGGGGATGAACTACATTTTCTATGCCAGAGATTCCCCTTCGTAGCAATCACATTCCTCGATATCCTCCACAGAAAAGAGAGGAACTTTGGATGCAAAGAAAGACTCCAAAGCCATTTCCATGCTTTTGAGGTGCAGTTAGGATGATTCAGATTTGAGGTCACCAGCCGATCTCTTTCTGACTGCCTGAAAATATGGTAGGCTGATTTCACTGAAAACAACCCTGATCTCTCAAAATTCCAAACCCAGTCATCATAAGAAGAATCCTTGCCAATTGGGATTCTCTTAATAGTCTCCACTTCATCCGAAGAGAAGCTTTGTTGGATAATGTCAAGGTTCCATTCACAACCATCATCCATAACCCATTGAAAAGCCCACAGTTGTTGCCTACTCATCGGCTGCAACTTAAAGTTGGGGATACTTGGAATCCAAGGGTCTTTTTCTAATGAGATTGATCTTCCACTTCCCATGTTCTTTCGAGCCCCCAACTTCAAGATGGATTTTGCTTCACAAATGCTAGACCAAATCCAGGATGGCCTCCTACCTTTCTTAGCCTCCATAAAATCAATATTAGGAAAATAGAGACCCTTAAGAAGCTTGATCCATGTCTGTTCCTTTCCATTAAGAATTCTCCATCCTTGCTTCGCCAATAGGGCCATATTGAATTGATGGAAATCCTTAAACCCCATTCCTCCTTCCTGCATAGGAGCCGTTAAAACGCTCCCTTTTCTCCATGGGATTGCCTTCTTTTCCATGTCCCCTCCCCAGAAGAAAGCATTGAGGCGAGAATTCATCTTCTTAGTCGTCCCTTTTGGAAGGAGGAAGCAGGACATAATATAGGTGGGGTAACCCTGAAAGACTGATTTCAACATTGTTTCCTTTCCTGATTGAGATAGAGCAAGACCCTTCCATGCTTGACAAAGCTTTTCCATTATGCTCACAAGAACCGAGAAGACTTCTTTCTTTGATCTGCCCCATTCGGTAGGGACCCCCCCAGGTATTTTCCCAAACCCTTTTCAATAGGGATACCCAAACATTGAGCGATGATCTGCTTGATAGTATCAGGGGTGTTGTGACTGAAAGCGAGGGCTGATTTTTCACAATTGATCTCCTGACCCGTCATTTTGCCATAAGTCTCCATTGTTTTTTTAATATGCATAGCCTCTACCAGAGATGCTTTCCCAAACAGAATTGTGTCATCTGCAAAAAGCACATGGGTAAGTCTAGGACAATTTGGGTTAAGAGAAATGCCTTGAAAAGTACCTTCCTGAACACTCTTGGAAATGAGAAAAGAAAGCGCATTAGTAAGGAGAATGAAAAGCAAAGAAGAGAGTGGGTCTCGCTGACGGATGCCTCTGGACGGCTGAAAGAACTCTGAGGGTTGACCATTGAACAAGATCGAAAACCGCACAGTCTCAATGCACTCCTTGATCCAAAGACACCATTGATGTGCAAAACCCATAGCTCTAAGGATACTCTCCAGACACTCCCACTCAACCATATCGTAGGCCTTCTTCATATTCATCTTAATCATCATTTCCCACTTCCCGCCTTTTGGGCGAGTCTTGAAATGGTGCATGACCTCATGGACAATGATGATGTTATCCTGTATAGCTCTCCCTCCACTAAAAGCTGTTTGCATCTCATCAACCAGTTGAGGGATCTAAACATTAAGTCTTGTTGTCATGATTTTGGATATCACCTTGTACCGGAAGCAACTAATAGGCCTGAATTGGGATACTCTCTCCGGGTTCAAGATCTTCGGTGTTAGCACCAAGTGAGTATCGTTCCATCCCTCAGGCATTGAGCTTTGTGAGAAGAAAGTTTAAATTTCCCCACAAAGTTGCTCTCCAATACTGTCCCAGTAGATCCTGTAAAAAAGACCGGGGAAACCATCCGGCCCAGGGGACTTACCAGATCCCAACTCAAAGACAGCCCTTGTAATCTCCTCATCCTCAATAGGTTGGCAAAGAGTCTGATTTATCTCATCATTCACCACACATGGAATGTCTTGATAGGATCTCATATCCACACTTTCTTCTCTTTTTTTGAACAAATCCATGTAGAAAGAGACACAATGATGTTGCAAATCATGCTGGTTAGTCAGCCAGTTATTCCCTCCATCTAACAACTTCATGACCTTGTTTCGATGACTCCTTTGGATAGTCGATGTGTGAAAGAATCTCGAATTCATATCCCCTCCTTTGAAACATTGGATTCCAGATCGTTGTCTCCAGAATACCTCTTCTTCCTTCCACAGATTGTTAAGCTCTGTAAGTAGCTTTCTCTCTTCTTCCGCAACAATCGGATCTCTAGAAAAATAAAGAATTTCCTCTGCCATGTTGCTTCTGCAAATTAGTAGGATAATGCTCACTGAAGATCTTCAGTCCAGTTTTTTGCACAAGGCTGGCCATAGATGGCCCACTGGGGGGTTTAAAGTTGCTGCATATTAGCTTTAGTTTTTTGCTTTCCTTTCCCAGTTGTATTGCTTGTGTTTTTGTAGTAGGATTGTTGCCCGTCCTTTTGGACTGTTTGGGCCCTTTGTTTCTTCGTTCTTTGTAGTTTGTTCTGTTCCCTGTTTGTTGACTTGGACTTATTTGGTTTCCTCTCATTTTTGTTTGTTCCTTCTGGATGAGCTTTTTAGCCATTGTTGTATTGTGTAAAAAATTGGATCTTTTCATTCTACTTGCCATATTTGTTCCCTTAATAAATTGATTAAAGAAAATCAGGAGATAGATAAATCCCTGAATCGCTATGCGTCGCCATAAAATTCAAAAAAGTTCGCCCTAAAATACACTTAATTGACACATTTACCCCTAACATCAATTCTAACCTAAACCGGGGAAAATGTCGCCTCCGGCAACCCAAGTATTGCTCTCGTTCGGTCCCTGATGCCAACAAAGGAGGATGAAGAAAAAGGTCATTAGTCGTCGCCGGAGCCGCTCCCCGCCGCCGCTGATATTTGTCGTTGCTGTCGACCAGGAGGAGGGAAGAGGGCGAAGAAGAAGGAATGAGAGAGCGATTTATCCAAAACAGAGAATGATGCAGCTGGGAACGTGGAAGTGGAGTCGGGGAAACTTGGCCGGAAAATTTAGCGAAGTGATGGCTTGGGATTCCCAGACACCGGCGAGAGAATCGTTCAATGAATAAGAGATATTGAGAGAATCAATTATGCGCAATTAAGATGGGAATTGTAGTTGGTTAAGGAAATAACAAGGAATGGAGGTCGGAGCAGATGTCTCGACAAGAAGAGGGAAACCAAAGAGAGAAATAGCCCAGGGAAGTCTTGGCTTTGTTGAAATTGAACTCAGGGCCTACGATTTCTAAATGGGTTTATTCACCTATACGGATCGCCGCCTGAAGGAAGAAAAAGACACAACACAGCAGAGGATTGCATTTTTTGTGTTTTTTTTTGTTGGTCGGCGTCGGACAGGTTGAAATCCCGTCGCCGACGAGCTGGGACGGGTACCTGACCAGTCGCTTGCAGTCGATGACGGATTATGAAACAAAACTTAAACAAAGGACATTAGAGTCATTTTAACAAAAGTTAGGGCAACAAATAAGGTATTTTAGGGTGACGAATATCAATGCCCATAAATCCAGCCGCCTTACTCTCTTCACACTCCTTTGTCTGTCTTTTTAAGGCTTAATTGCATGTTTGGTAACTCGAATTGCTACAAAATTTCACGTTTGATCACTAAAATTGGTTTATTCCATTCATAGTCACTTAAATTAGTTGAACCGTCCAAGTTCGGTCACTCTCCGTTAACCTCCGTTAGACTCCGTTAATGACGATCGGTAAGTGATGACGTGGCTAACAGAAAATCACAGTCCGCATATTTTAACCCTAAAAATGACTATCTGACCCGCCACGTCAGATTTGCCCACCATGTCACCCTTCCTTACCCAACCCGCAAACCAACCCAATAATCGACCCAACCCCAAACCTGACCCCTCATGAATCTGAAAAGTAAAATCGACAACCCCCTGCTGCTTGCTCATCTTCCTCCTCTGATGCGGCGGAATTTTGCTCGCCGCCTTCGAGACTTTACCACTAAGGAGGGAGCGGATTGTCCGGCGGATCGCGGACGGGGACATCGGAAAGGTCGAAACAAATGCCGCCGAGAAACTGCTCCATCGGAGCATCCCAAACATAGATTTCCATAGTTGTGCTTGCCGAGTCAGGCCTGTTGTGGGGGAGAGCAAAGACCTGGTTCCACTCGGGCGAGTCGGGTGGCTCGCTGGGGCGGTAATTCGTCGGCTTAGATATGACGTAGTGATTGGATGTCCTTATTTTCACGTAGGGGCTCTCGTTGGGCGACAATCCACGCGCCTTCACGATTCTGATGAACAGATACTGCATCGGCTCAACCAGATCTAGAGGATGAATTCTCTCCGTGTCGCTGGGAAATCGGTAGGATATCACTCGGGGAGAGAAATCGCCGTTTGTAACTCTCTCACCGCCGGCGCTGACCATTCTTGTGCCGTGCATCGCTCTAGATTCCGGAGGCAGGGGATACTGCATCTCCGGCGGAGGTTCAGGATGCAGACCCAGCGGCGGCTCGCCGAGTGGACGTGGACAATCGGAGGAGGCGATTCTTCCACAGCGACGATCGGTGGCAAGTAAGATCCTCCGTCGGGGCCGGAGTAATTGTTATGCCTCTGGCTGTGCCCGATGTCACCTGAACCAGGGACTTGGAAAACTCAGCCTTCTTCCACCACGACAACAAGCACGGAGGCTGATCCGGAGTCGGCTGACCGAGCAGTAGCAGAGGAGGAGGATGAGCGAGCAACAGGGGTTGTCGATTTTACTTTTCAGGGGGTCGGGTTTGGGGTTGGGTCGATTATTGGGTTGGTTTGCGGGTTGGGTGGGTGACATGGAGGGCAAATCTGATGTGGCGGGTCGGGTAGTAATTGTTTAGGGTTAAAATATGCTGACTGTGATTTTCTGTTAGCCACGTCATCACTTAACGGTCGTCAATAATGGAGTCTAACGGAGGTTAACAGAGAGTGACCGAACTTGAACTGTTCAACTAATTTAAGTGACTACTAATGGAATAAACCAATTTTAGTGACCAAACGTGGAATTTTGTAGCAATTCGAGTGACCAAACTTGCAATTAAGCCGTCTTCTTTATTTTATTTTTTGTCTTTCGGTTCAGCTCTTGCAGACCGTTTTTTTTTTCCAGACACTGGTTTGTTTGTGTAATATTAGGTGAATCAGATTAACAAAACACGAGTTATTTTTGGTTTATAAGTAAAAATTTAAACCGAGTTTAACTGATAAGACACATATTGAGGTGAAATGGAAGAGTTTTTATAAGAACTCTGAAGCTAAACGTGCTCGTTGTAGGGTACTTTAATGATGAGTAATCTTATGAAAAGTCACCTTCATATGCACTCCAAGGCAAAATCCGTGAGAGTCTAGACCCAAAGCGAACAATATATTATCAGGAAAAAGATTCGAGATGTTACAACCTGCAAGTGGTATTAGACCCTCTCTGTATCCCTCTTGAACGATGGTGGGGAAAACTTCAATGAGGACGTTGAGTTCCAGAGGGGTGTATATAGCACTTTAGGCGAATCCTACATCGATAAAGCACGGAAGAGATCCATGGTTCATAAGTAAGAACTCGACCTTAACTAACAAGACGCATTTTGGAGTGAAATGAAATAGTTTTTCTAAGAACTCTGAAATTAAACGTACTCGCTATAAAGCACTGCAAAAATGAGCGATCTTATGAATAGTCACCTTGATATGCACTCTAAGACAAAGTCCGTGAGGATATAGATCCAAACCGAACAATATCTTGTCTAAAAAAAGTTCGATATGTTACATTTTCCTTCTTTTTCACAATAAATTCTTTTCACTCTTGTAAAAAAAAAAAAAAACCAGCAGTCCAATATTTGTTTTCATGTAGTAGTAATGTAAATGAATAAATATATGATATTGAACGATAATGCATTTTTTGTTTTTTAATTTGTTTGTTCCTCTATAGTTGATTGAGGTGATGTCTAGAATAATAAGTTCATATTATAAGGGACCACACTCTTAACTTATATACCAAAACAATAATGCGTTTTGGCCTGTAGGACCGCCAATCATCAACCATCCACTTGTTGGAGTAGGCCCAGAAATTACGCTATGAACCATCCCGATTCGAAATGCTTGATTGATTCATCATATACAGATAAATTCTTTTAACTCGTTTTTATTTTAATTTTTATAAAGACGGAGTATATTCTGTTTTTTTATTGTGAAGTGTTATTTAAAGAATTTGAAAACGAGTTAAAATTTACGATAGGAATATTAGACTAATTTCTTGTTCATTCTCTAACTCATTTTACAGGACTCATCAGCCACCATCGAAAATCTCATTGTGAAAATTTTAGGAAAAGACCACATGATGAAGTTACTACTCCTCTGAATCAAGCACTTCTAAATTTTAATAACATGTGAAGTTCTTAAACAATAATTTTTGCATATCTCCAAATTGTAATACATACAATGATCGTTACTTAACGCAAACGAGATCTAAAATATTTATATTTTTCAAAGACTCGTCTTCAAGAAGATTTTTTGACTCCTCCATAACAAAATCAGTCTTTCAACTTAATCATTTTCATTTCAAGTATTTTGAAGTTGACTTGCTAATTTTATTTTTTTTACAGGCTAATTATAAGAGGGTGTGTGAGGGAAAGGGGAAACTGTTAGACCAAAACCTCTTTTGCATCATTTGATTAAAAAACTAAGCACCATCTCTATCAGTGTTGGCAATTTAAACTCGCCCAGCGGGTATTATCCGACCTGACTCGCGATGGGGCGGGTATTACCCGACTCGTACTAGCGTGGGGGTGGGGTATGGATATCTACTTCCGACCCGCGCTATCCCACCCCGCCCCGTTCTTAGTTCATTTTATCTCAATTTCATATGGTACCTATACATATTTCTTTTATTTTAACTTTTCTTCAACTAGTTAGAGTCGAACTTATAACATGTTGGACTCAATCACCCGCGCGGGTTTTAATTCATAAAGTGTTTCCCCCCTTCGTTTTATCATAAAAAGTAAAAATTGGGTGTATTTTTTTCAAATAACATGCAAGAGGGGGTCGCCCCGCTCCGTCCCATACTCGCGCGGATTTTACCCGCCCCAACCCACAATAGCGTGGGATGGGACATGGGTATTGAGGTACCCGCCCGCCCTTCCCATTGACATCACTAATCTCTATGTTGTTTTTTTTTTAAATAAATAAGTGAATTATTTGGATGTGATATTTTAATGAGATATTTGGGAAAGAGTATCTCAAAAGTAAAAAAGAGACAATTCTATACAATTATTTTCAAATATCTTCCGCAAAATGCATGCCCTACCAAACTCGATGGATTTGTGATTAAAATACTGGTTAAATAATGCTCGTTGCCCCTTATGCTGGTCGTCTTCCCTCCCACTAGCTTGGTAAATTTTTTAAGCTTTTACGCTAGTGAAAAATTTCGCTACATTGGAGTATGATAATTTATAAAGTTTGGTATTTATGTCAAGCACAATATGACATGAGATTGATGATCTCATGACACTAATTAACCCCCGGAAAAATTTAATGCACATACTTGAAATTTGTACAGATTCGAACACCTTGTGTCAAACAAAATAGAAGGAGGTCATCGAGATTTGAATAGATTCTTATTCCGATTTGCATGCAGCTGGTATCGACGAACATAATATACATAATTAAACATACACTAGCTATATAGCTAGCTAGTTAATTACATGCTGCGCAGATATAATTATCTTAACCTAAACTCAGCTAGCTAGCGGAGCCACCAAGTGTGGCGGCGAGTGTCGTCGTCTGAGCAAACGAGACGAGCAAAATCAAACAAACACCAACACTTCCGGCGCCCCGGCGGTCAAGGAGCGGCGGCAGAGTGGACACGTGGGGTGGCGGCGGCGGCGGGAGAAGAAGGAGAACTCCGACCATCTCTCCAGACATACTTGATGGAACGCATGGCGACACGTCAGCTCCGGGATCTCGTCGCCTTCTTCGATCCTCGACAAGCACACCGCGCACTCCGCGTCCTCGTCGGCGGCCCCGTGGTAGCGAGGTGCGGCGGCGGCCGGCCGGCCTTGCAGAAGAATAAGAAGGTGGGAGTGGGAGTGGGAGTGGGGATGGAAGAAGGAAGTGTGGAGAAGAATTTCCCATACCCATTTCAAGAAACTCAGCATCACTGTTATGCCTCCAACCACTTTCCATGCATCCATTTTCTAATGATCAATTGCTGGCGAGGAGAGATGGAGCTTTCTGGGGAAGAGAGTAATAGCTAGCGGAAGGGGATGGATAAAGATGGGTGGTGGAAAGGCGCAGCCGGTTTTTAACTATTTATAGAGACAACTGATGGTATAGAAAAGTAGGCAAATTATTATTGACGAGAAGTCAAAGGAAGAGTTACAAAATTAAATTTTAACAATACAACACTTAACAAAAAACAAAACAAAAAATCATAGAAATTCCCCGCGGCGGTGACCGGAGCTCAGTGAAAGTAGAGTGAGAAAGTTCTCCCAAATTTATGGTCACTAGGCTTTCGCTGAGCCTGTTGGCCGCGACGGCATCTGTGCCGGTGCGATCGGTTTTCTTATCCATCGTCTTCCTATGAGTGATGAGTGATCTGTCATCTGCGCAAGCTCCGTCTCTGAGAGTTTCGGTGAAACCCTGAGCGGATTTGTTTGGTATTTCGGAAGCAAACCACTTATGCTATGTGAAGCCGGAGGTCTTCGAATGCCCAATGAGGTATGTGATGAGGGTGCGGCTCGCTGGTAGCATAATCTCGTGGCTCAATTTCTTCATAAGCCTCCTCCTATTCCTTTTCTTCGATGTAGGGTGAACAAGATCGGGGGGAGGGATGGACAGGTTCGTGTGTCACTTCTTTGTGATCAATTGTTGCTCATCCATCTCCCGTCATAAGCGACTTGTGACTGGATTCTTGAAAGTGGACCTTGGTTTTACTATGATAAACTTCTCTAACTACACCCTTGGAAACATGGAATTGATGTGGAGGATCCAGGAAGGAAGGCTTTGCCTATCTGGGTAAGATTCTCAAATACTCCGCTCGAGTATATCAATTATAGAGGTCTCAGTTGTATGGCTAGCTGTTTGGGCGTACCTTTGGGTGTTGATCAAACTACTAGGCTGGGTGGGCGTCTTGGGCAGGTGAAGGTACTAATGGAATTAAGGGATGCAGGTGAATTTTCATATCATGTCCTGGTTTGGCCAGATGACAACACCTCGATTCGAGTAGGGGGTGCATTATAGTTTCTTGCCCCCTGTTTGTCAGGTGTGTTGTTCTTTTGGTTTGGACTGCGGCTGTGTGGCTCACCAAGGACGAAGAGTATGGGTTCGTAAGGAGAACAAGGGTGGGGATAAAAGGGAAGTGGAGGTAGTACAAGGTGATAATGAGGTAGTAGTACAAGGTGCTCCCACGACAAACAATAACCGGAATCAGAGGAGTCACCACAGCCCAGACAACGCTCATGTTCAAGCCCTCCTCTGCTGTTTGGTTCTAATGTGATTGAATGTGATAAGTTGGTTACTAATCTTAAGGCATCATTCCAGGAAGCTGCAGAGAGTAGTTCCCCTGTTCTGCCATCTGAAGCAGATTTTCAGAGAGTTGGTCATGGTGGAAGACTCTCCTCTTCCTAGACCTACCAGTGTGTTGAGTGTCTCTAAATAATTTGAAGTCTTCAATAGGTTAAATGAGGAAGAGGTAGTTAAACTCCAGGTAGCACCTAAAAAAACCAAGAAGGGTGGGAGGCTAACCTCCCTCATGAAGATTCTATTATGGAATGTTAGAGGGTTTAATAAACCTTCTAAACGAAGGGACTTTTCTCAAGTCCTTCGTGCTAATAATGTAGATGTAGTGGCTATTTTAGAAACCAGAGTAAGGCATAATAAGTTGGAGGAGGTGGCAGCTGATTTATGCTCTGATTGGAAAAATATTTGAACTATGTGGATAGTGATTTAGGTATAATTTGGATGTTTGGAATCCTAATAAGGTTGAGGTGAGTATTTTGGTCCCGAAAAGAATTTTATTCACTGCTTGGCTAAGGGTACAGATGGTCAATGTTGTTTCATCACAGGGGTTTATGGCTCTAACGATGAATCTAAAAGAAGAGTTGCTGATAGCGTCGTATTTGCACATGTTTTCACCCTTGTTTCTTAACTATTTTGGCTCAAATTTGTGGTATCTAGGCCTATTTTATGCTAGGTTGTGTTATTTTGTCATAATTCTGGTCCTAGCACGTAAAGTGAAGCATAGGCGCAAGTTTCAAGTCAATCGGAGATCATTTGGCAATTCGAGAGAAGAAACTAGAGCATGACTTGAAGAAGAATGAATTTCTACCTCATATTATGGACAAATAATCATGGAATCTTGTCATGAAAAATAAGAGGACGAGACTACGAGCGTCTGGGATCAAACAACGACTGATTCGGAGTCCGGTTGAGGGAGAAACAAAGCATTAAACAGGAGTGGAGGAAGAAATACGGGCAGGAGAAATACGACCGTATTTTCCCCTCCCATGCCCGTATTTTCACTGCCGAGAGGAGCCTTGGATGCGCTGAAACTTAACCCAAACGCGCGTTTTGGGCAAAATACGGACAGAGAAGAATTACGACCGTAATTTAGCCCATATTTAGCCCAGAATTGGGTTTTTGGGGCATATTCGAGCCAAAGAAGAGGGAGTCGACTTTTTGGAGCAAAAATAGAGTTTTAGAGAGAGAAAGTGCGAAGAACAAAGCCTAGGAGCTATTTGGAGTGGATTTCTCACCATTGAAACCCAGATTGCATCCCCAGGAGTGAAGATTGACATCCCAGAGCAGATTCTTCCCATTGTTATGAGTATGACTGCTTTGTATTCTGTTTCCCTCTCTCTCTATGGAGTAGAACTTTCTCTCACTTGGGTATGAAGAACTCTAGTTCCATGTGTTAGGGATCTTGATTGTAATGACTTGGGATTGTTATACTGTTTGGTTTTAATCGAATGATGCATGATTCATTGAATCAATTGAAGTCTGATCATCTTTTCTTGATTTCTGCTGCAACCTAAGATAGATAGAATCTGATTAGGTTGTTAGAGCTTCATCATTTGGTAGTGGTAGATTGGTTATAAGAGAGTTAGTCAATCTACTGCCTTGTACTAGAATCCAATTCCAGTAGTGGAGTTCGGTGTTCATAGCCTTAGCTTTCTATTCCAGTGAAGACTAGTCGTCTGCCGGGTAGTTGGACTGAGAGGGCTTGGTCAAGAGATTCCAAACTACTGTCGGATCTTCCGCAGTTTAATCAACAGTAAATCAACCCAGGGCAATTACAACTGGATGTTGTGCTGGATTTCTTTAAATTTGGTCGATTTCTAGGTAGTGTCAACTCTACTGTTGTATCTCTAATTCCTAAAATCCCTTCCGCTAGTATGCTTAAGGAGTTTCGGTAGATATCTTGCGTTAATATCATGTAAAAAATTATAGCCAAGCTCCTAGCATATAGGTTGAAATGTGTGCTCCCTTCTGTGATTAGCAGTATTCAATCAACTTTTATAGCAATAGGAAAAGCTTTTATAGTAGTAATCAAGAACTCATAAGTGAATACAATAGGAAAAACATGTCTTCTCGTTGTGCTATCAAGATTGATTTGATGAAATCTTTCGATTCAGTAAATTGGGAATATTTGTTTATGATGATGGACACTATGGCATTTCCATCACAGTTTTCCAATTGGATCAAGCTTTGTGTAAAAACTGCTAGAATCAGTACAAGTATAAATGGAGGTCTTTGTGGTTATTTTGGGGCTAGGAGGGGAATGAGACAGGGTGATCGCCTCTCTCTCCTTATCTCTTCATCATTGCTATGGAGGGGCTTTCCATTTTGCTTAATAAAGCTGCTGCTGAAGGGTCTTTGGCTTATCATCCCCAATGTAAAAAGGTGAACTTGACTCATCTTTACTTTGCAGATGATCTCCTTATCTTCACTGAGGGATCGGTGCAAGCAATCAGTAGGGTGAAAGTAGTACTAAATGAATTCTATCTCCTTTATGGCCTTGATGTAATCCTGGGAAATGTGAAGTGTACTTTGGGGGTTCCTCAGTGATTTATAAACAGAATGCACTTCAGATGTCAGGTTTCCAGGATGGGAATTACATGTCCATTACCTTGGTCTTCCACTATTCTCTGGAAAGTTGTCGTCGGTGGATTGTGATAAGCTAGTTGAGAGGATAACTAAGAAGATTGGAATATGGAGATCTACGTAGTTAATCTATGCTGGGCAGCTGGAATTGATTTCCTCAGTGATTATGGGTCTATTACAGTTCTGGATGCAAGTGTTCCTCTTGCCAGAAAAGGTTCTAAACCGTGTGCATGATATATGCTCGAGATTTCTCTAGCATGGTGGTAAGGATGGGAAAGCGAAGATTGGTTGGGATAGACTTGCTCGTTCGAAGCTGGAACTAGGCATGTACTATTCGAATGATATGGCTCCTGCTTGTGGTGCGATTTGGGGGGCATGGATGTGGCATTATAAAATTAAGCAAGGAGTATCAGTCCAAATAGTTCATGGCGTGGCGAAGGGTCCTTAAACTGATTGGTGACACTCTGAGTTGGGATGGTAATCTTATGCCTGTCTATAAGGTTTCAGTAGTGTGGAATTCATTGCGACCACAGTTTGTGTGAGTAGATTGGTCAGGGCTGCTTTGGGGAAGCTTTCCATGCCAAGTAACAGTTTCCTTGCTTGGCTGGTTATGCAAAATGGTGTTGTCACTAAGGATAAACTGATCAAGTGGGGGAAACTTGTTGACGAAACTTGCTTGCTTTGATGCTCTCATAATGAAACACGTGAGCATTTGTTTTTTCAGTGTTCCTTTTCTCGGCAGGTACTTGCTAGCTGGAGTGAGGCACATCAATTCTGCAAGCATACTTGGGAGGAAACGGTGCAGGCTGCTGTGATTCTCAGCAAAAAGAAGACTCTTGTAGGTAGAATTGTTGGCCTCATTTGGTGTGCTTGTGTGGCTTATTTGTGGCGAGAAAGATGTACTAGACTGCATAAGGGGGATCCTCGTGATGCAAATACCATTGGTCGATTAGTGGTGGCAGATTTGATGTATTTCAGTAGTGATAATAGAGTTCTCAGTAGCGATATGGAGTTGTTAGGATTAATACCAGGGTAACTGATTGTCCTTAGCATGTAGTTGGCAATCGTTGTAGGTGGTTTTGTATTTCACATGGCTGCTCACTTTGAGCTTTCCTTTCGTTGTAATTGGGAACCTATATGTACTTTGCATATAGTTTTGAGGAATGAAAGTAATCGGTTCA